GATAAAATCTTATCCCATAACTGTTTGAATTGTATTTTTTGTATAGACTATTCGTTTATATTTTGTCATCGAGTTAATGCTTGAAATCAATGGTAATGTTGATAAACATCATTAAAATATGATTTAATCATATCGCAATCAGCAAGTTAACATCCAACTCAGACGACTATCAATTTTTTGATTGAAAATGATGAGTTTAGAGCATATAATAGTTTAGTGATTATTTTATAACTTTTAGTAGTCGAGAGACTCAATAAAGTAACACCCTATAGTCTTGAAATTTTAGCTTAATTTCTGCAATAATGTAGTGAAAAAAAATTGTTCGAATAGTGCCCCGAAAGATTATTTGTTTGAATGGAGTGAATGTTATAGTATAGAACGGAATCGCATTGGACTCCCCGCGTCTCTCCAAGGTCGCATGGAACACCATGCGACCTCCTTCCCCGGATCAAACATCTGCTGCATTCAAAATACTCAGAGCTTCATTTCCACCGAGGATTCAAACACCAGCAATTTCATCCAAAAAAATAAAGACGCATGGTGTTTTGCTCATAAAAAAGCCACTGGATTTATCAAGATTTGAGTATTTTGAAAGGCAAAGCAAAATTAAAGGCTTTGTAAAGATGCATGGTGATCCGGAGAGGGGAGAGTCGCATTCTATATTGTAGCATTCACCCATTCGAACAAATAATTTATTGGGAGCACTATTAGAACAATTTTTTTGGACTGCATTATTGCAAAAAATCAGCCTTATTTTTACTTCTTAAAGGGTATTAGACATATGACAGCAGGAGCTTAGCTGAAGGCTTGCAGTTTGGTTGTTTGGTTGTTACAATAGTTATTTTCTTGATATCGAGGTTAAGCGTGTTGGTGATTCGATATTGTTGAGCCAGAAGAAGTTTATACGTTAATTACTGGTCAAAGCTCAGATGACGAATGCAAATCCTATACCCACACGAATGATATCTTCTCTCAAGTTATCTGAAAATGCTGGTAGCCCTTTGCTAAAAGCCAGTGAGTATCGTAGTTTGGTTAGGGCGTTACTTTATGTTTGTCATACGCGGCCAGATATAGTGCTTAGTGTAAACAAACTTGCTCAATTCATACACGCTCCTTGTGAGCAACATATAACATCAGCCAGGAGAGTTTTGAAGTATTTGAATGGCACTTTCGAGTATGGGCTTGTGTTCACTCCAGCTGATGCATCAGGCAAGTTAACTGCCTTTGTGAATGCTGATTGGGGCAGCAGTAATGATGACAGGAGATCAATTTCTGGAAACTGCTTGTTTCTAGGTGGTAATTTGATAGTTTGGAATTCTAAGAAACAATGGACAGTTTCCCGGTCAACGATTGAGGAGGAATACCGGAGCTTAGCAGATGCAGCTTCAGAAGTGGTTTGGGTCGAAGCTTTACTTGCTGAAATGGGGCTTGAGCGTCCTGATATACCAGTCATTTGGAGTGATAATTCTGGTGCTATTGCGATGAGCTCGAATCCGGTGTACCATGCAAAAACGAAACATGTGGAGTTCGATGTCCATTTTATCGATAAAGGAAGCAGAAACCGGACGAAGCAGGGTAAATATTAGATATATGACAGCTGGAGCTTAGCTGAAGGCTTGTAGTTACGTTGTTACAGTAGTCTGTCGTAAAGTGGTTAGCTGAGCAGTCTACTCACACCAATATATAATGAGGTCTTCTCCTCATGTATTGTACGTTCTTGATATATGAAAAGTATTGTTTCATGTTCAGCATATTTTTGGGTTTCCTAACAAAGGGAAACAGAATAATTAAAATAAAAAAAATATTTAAGTGCAAAATTGGAGAATAGACGCTGAATTATGAATGAAGTCTTAGAAAAAAATAGCAAAATATATTGAGAAAAAAGAAAAATTATTGGAACAATGTACCGTTCTCGACATTACCGAAAGGGTATGAGTAAAGATTCAAACCCAATGGACTTGGCTTAGACTAGCAATGGAATTGCCAAGTTGTTAATATGTGCAACACATGACCGACCAAACTTCCTTAATGATCTAATCTCCTTGTTGTTGTTGTTGATGATAATAATGTCCATAAGAATAAATATTGTGTTGATGGTTGGTAATTCATTCTTATAATCAGTGTAAGAGCAGTTGTTGGCTCGTGACTCCTTTCAGAAAAAGAAAAAAAATAATATGAGAAAGAAGATGAACTATCTAGACGAGAAAGACCTTGATCTAAGAAGAAATAGTCACACAATCAAAATTACTTTTATATTATATATTTGAATTATATTATTATATTTTATTTAATTAATCTTTGTTTTTTGTCTCTTCTTGTAACACATATTTTCTTTTCTAATAAATTAGATATTCATAATCATTAAAGATATGTCGTGATTAAATTATGATAAAATCAGTTTATCAATATATATTATTATCGTTATATGTATTTTTGTTACTGGTAATGTTTATTTGTTACAATAATGTTTGTTTATATCTATAATTTTTATGAATTTAGTTGATATTTTAATCATTTTCTTATATAATTTTATTTTACTCTTCAATAATTAATTTGTATATTTTAATAATTTTAAAGGGGATGTTATATTAATGTAATTTAGTAATTTTTTATTATTTCATCCTTTTTTCAATATCCGGCGCTTATGAATTCCAGTTAAATCTAATTAACACTTTTGATTTCTGAGATTTAAGGATTTAAGCCGAATGTTCAAATATAAATGGACAAGTAGTTAGACTGGACCAGCCTTTATTAAGATAAACTTGGATCTTCTTCGATCCGTTATGGATAACCGGCCTTTAAATATGGAACTAGCTTTGGTGGTCTGGGTCGTACCAAAATTATTTAAAGATGTATGACATTTATTATAATATATTTTTCTATTGGAACTCGTCATGCCCACATGATGAATTTTAATAAAAAAAATTATATTTTATGAAACTTGTCATGTAAGCATGACGAGTTTCAATAAAAATTTATATTTTATGAAACTCATCATGCACACGTGACAAGTTCTTAATTCATTGTAGTAAATAGCATAGATCCTTATACAATTTTCCACTCGTCATATTTCCCTAATTCTTTTTCTCGCCGAAAATATTTTCCTAATTATGTCCTGAATCTAGTTACAATTTATGTATAATGTTTATTATTAAATTAAATATTATATTCGTCCCACTAAATTTGTCTTTTATTGACTTTTCAAAAGTCAAATAATTATTTTTAATATTTTTAAAAAATTAAATTTTATAAAACATATATCTCAAAACTACTTAATCGAAGGTTTTTAAAATATTTTTTATATATTTTTATTAACAATAAATTTTAAATAATAATTAACCAAAATTAAAAAAAATTGACAAAAAAATTCAATAAGTGTTTGAATAGGACGAAGGGAATATATAATTTATACATAATATAGGAATTAATAGACGAGTTTAATCATATATTTTACGCTTATTGTTTGAATTACGATTGAAACTTTAACATTAGAAAAAGTTTAGATCGACAATCCGTTAATTTAACAGAATACGATATTAGATCTCTTAAACAACATTCATGGTTTAAATTTTGGTATTATTAATGAAGCTTGGTTGAATTGGAAGGATTATCATCATAATGAACCTATGTGATACCTAATTTAGACTATAAATTACGTACAAAGACTGATAAAAGAATTTAACCTTAATGGTGCATTTGTCATAAAAAAATTATTATAAGAAATAATAATCTTTTTAAATTTACATTCACACATTTAGTTTGACATGATTCCCCAATGGATAATAATCTTAAATAAAAGATTTTGTTCATTTGATCATTTATTGTATTATTAACTATATAGTTAATTATTTGAGGTGCAAATCTATTAATTATTTGAGGTCGTGGGATCATGTCCCACGGAGGGCATTTCATAATTCGGAGGTCTCTTACGGAAGCTGCTCTCAACCTGGTGTTGGGGGTAGCCTACTATCTTACCTCTCCCTTACCCCATACATATGGGAAAAAGGGACAACCAACCATAAATTAAATTACTTAAGTAGTATAGTAGGATTATATGTTGTTTGAGAGTTAATACATTAAGAGTTAATATTCTTAATTTTATTTTTTAAATTTATAAAATATTTCTTATCATCAAAAAAATATGTTTTATATTAAACTTATGATCTACAATGTTAATTTCTATTTTACTACTTTCAAATTATTATTTACTATAATATTTTTGACAAACTATTATAAGCAGTATTTACATTAATATTTTAATATTTGATAGTTTATAAAAAAAATATTTTAAAGAATAATGAACACGTACAAATATAAAGTTTATCTTTTTAAAAGAGTTAATTGTATTTCAGTCAACAAATAATGGATTTATTTTATATCCGTCCTTAAAATTTTAAATATTTCAATTCCATCCCTAAACTATGGTTACCATTCTAAATTAATCCTAAAACTTCTAAACATTCCAATTTCATACCCAAACTATAACCTTCATTCTAAATTGGTTCCCAAATTTTTTGAATATTCCAATTTTATCCCAAAATGTACGTATATATTAATCACCTCAATTGTTAATAAAATCTTTAGGTCAAGTTATATTATTATATGTTTGAAAAGAATAAAATTTAGGTTAAATTATAGTTGAAAGTAAATAAATATTTGGATGAATTTTGAGATGAAATTAGAGAATTCAAAAGTTTGGGGATATATGATGAAATTAACTCTTTTTAAAATGATATGATATACTAAGTAGATAATTCCCAAAAAAACCAAACCAAAGAGGAAAGAAAAGCTGTTTTTATTTACAACATAATTTGATGGCACATCATTGGGAACATGTATTATATGTTTAATAGGATGAGCACTGAACTTCTCCCTGAATTGATGGACGGCTATTGGAACCTCTTGTGGTCGAGTCCACCAACCCAAGCCATAATTGCATTCCCCCTTTTTCAACCAACAAAACCCCGACTCATTATATCCTTTCACCTGTCTCTCACGGGCACCCACCAGTACCATCCCCTTTTCTCCAATCTCTTCTAAACCTTTTTCACCCGGTCACACGCAGAAACAAGACACAAAGCCGGCTGCTTGACAAACAAACAAGAAAATCTCCTTGCTTCTTTTCTTCCCTCGTTTACACCGAAACTCCAAGCACCCCATAAGTTTAAGGTCTACGTTCTTGGCAATTACCGGCACAAGTAATTAATGAAGACCGTTTCCAGGAACAAGTTTTTGGTCTGTTTTAGACCCGTTATGGACTCTATGCTCGACTCCGAACCAGTTGTAGTCGATCGTTCCCGAAATCATCGGGTCTTAACGTATACGAAGCCCTCAACGACTCCGTCTTCGGTTCCCGATACGGAGAATTCGATCATGGTCCATCGTCCCGGGAAGAAAACATTCTCCCATGTCGTTAAAGCCGTTGTGTTCGAGATCTTATTGGTTTGTTCTTCAACCTTTTTTTTATTCTTCCATTTTTTCCCTGCCTGTCATCATCACCCTCCAATATATCTTATCCTATTGACAGGCAAAGAGGGTTAAAGATAGAAAAGGTATTGATCGAGGATCATATTCATCAAAGCACAATTTCCCAGTAAACAGTCATGATAAGATGTTGGATACAAGTGCTGGTACCGAAGGAATTCGGGAGACGATTTCTGAGTCCAACTCGGTCCCGAATTCAACGCCGGAAACAAGCAAACATCAAGAACGTGAAGTGAAGGAGAAACAAGAAGGAATACAGAGGGGTTGGAGTTCAAGCAATGCCGTGTTTTGGGTTGTTATTAGTCTGGCAATGACCATCTTCTGGGGGAAAATTTACGCAATACTTTCGGCATCAATTTGGCTTTACTTCCTCCCTCGTCTGCAACAACCCGCAGGAGAAATTGAAAACCTGAACAGCATTAAAAGAAGCTCGGAAGAGAAGTCAGAAGATGACAAAAAGATCATAATGGAAGGGTTACTTAAAAGGAAACAAAGCAGAGGAGCATTCAATTATTGACATTTAACAAAGCATTTCTCTCTGAGATTTGTTTCGTTCCAGAAAAGTTGAATCAGAAGGAAGAGACTAAACACAGGCATCAGTTCCTTCATTCTTGTGCAGTATTTTTCTTCTTATTACTTATTAAATTTGGGGGGAGATTTCAGAGCATTTATTCCCCCCCCCCTTTTCTGGGACATGTTTAAACCTTTTGATGAGAGACAATACATTTATGATGATTAGTTCCTCTACGGATTGGTTGGGTCTCGCCTAGCTTGAAAAGGATCGCATTAGCACATCCAATGCGCATAGAAGAGTTATAAAATAATAATAAATGTATAAAAAAGAAAAAAGAAAGGAAGAAAAATATAAAAATTAATAAAGTTGATATTTTTCTTGTACAATAAATAATTAAAAAATCATTAAAGAGAGGCATTACCCTACTTTTCCACCCCATCCACAAAGCTAGCGGATTTGGCAATCTAGTGTAAAATATGTTACATTAAAGGTATACTATTTTCTAATTTAGAAATAAGATAAAATTCATTGAGTGGACTTAGTGGTTAAACGGAATATTATTCTCCTTTGAGGTCATGTTTTCGAGTAGTTGTATCTGCAGGGTTTGTGTACGTTGTCATTTAATAATGGTTAAAAAATATTATAAACATATACTACCTTATAATCACATCGTACTATTAAAAAAATTTAGAAATAAGATAGACTATACCCAAATCATTTAATTACTTTTATGATATAATAATAATAATTTAACAACAATTTATTACTTTATTACACAATGCAATTATCCAGAGGTAGCAAACACCATCAGTAGTAATCCTCATTCAAGTCAATCTATATAATTGAGTGATTTATTTATATCTTAAAAAAAACTACATATATATTATTAAACTCATAATTAAATATCGTTGGGTATAATTTACCCTTAAAAATATGGGTAAAATCATTCTATAGGTGATAAATGAATCAACAAAAGTTGGTTTAATTAGTTAAATACTCTTTCATAATTTGACAAATACTAAGATTTAGGGTGTCACCATCTTATTTGTGGGTCATCCCCACATCAAAACCTACAATTATTGTCACATCAACATTAATACATTATGATGGGGTCATTTAAAGTAGCTTCAGCCACTCCCAATTATAAGTACAAAATCTTTGTACTTAAATAGCTAAAGGAACCCACCACTTTTGGTCTTTGATACATATAATTGGTTTAATCTTCCACTCTCCAAAAGACTTCAAAATTTGAACGGCATTGCTAAAAGTTTATCTCTTCATATTTATACGCCTAATCTTAATTCTTATAATACAAGTTCATCGTCTTTGGCCTGCACTTTTTCGTAACTTGTAATTATCGAAGCTCATTGTCTATGGCCTACACTTCTTCTTAAGGCTTAATATAAGAACATTTGTTTAAGGTACACTCAAAGTTAATTTTGGTATTTAAAATTTTTTTATTAAAAAATAAGTACCTAACATTTTCAATGTTATAATTTTAAGTGTCTGGACTGTAACACCGATAAATTTAACCGTTAAGTGACACGTGTCACAACTATACTTTTTTAAATTTTTATTTTTTTAAAAAAATAAATATTTTTATTAGAATAACCATATATATATTTTTTAAAATTCCCCTCCCCTCCCCTCCCATCGATCCCCAAGCCTCCCTCCCAATTTCCTTCCCTCCCGTCTATGAGGCATGTCCCTCCCTCCCGATATTTGGGATTATTAGGATTAAATTCCAACTAAATCTTCTACCCATTAAATTTAGGATTAGGGATTTATGAGTTTGGAGTAGGGGTGTAAACGAGCCGAGTCGAGCTCGAGTAGTGCTGAGCTCGATTCGACTCGAAAACTCTGAAATGAAGCTCGACTCGACTCGAAAACTCGCGAGCTTAAAATTTTCAAGTTCGACTCGAACTCGAAATCCTGAACTGAAGCTCGTGAGCAGCTCGAAATGAAGAAAAAATTCTTAAATTTAACTCGATTGAAGCCTCAAACTCGAACTTGAACCTTAAATACATAAAATTTTTACTGTATTTAAAAAAAATCTATACATAAATGTTAATATTATTAATAATTTATTTTTAAAAAAATAAAATCTTAATATATTATGTTTTCGAATTGCTCACGAGCTTTTCGAGTCGAATATCAAGTAGCTCGTTTCGGCTCGTTAAGAACTAGAGTCGAGCTCGAGCTCGAGTCGAGTCCATTCGATCCGAGTATTTATCGAGCCTTGATCGAGTCGATCTCGGGTAGCTCGCGATCTATTTCGTCTCATTTACAGCCCTAGTTTAGAGTTTGTGATAAAATTAAGGGCAATGACCAGTCAATGGATGAGCGGTAACAGGTAGGTGACCTTTCGACGACGAAGACGGTGGCTAGAGATGATCTACAACATCTGCAAATGGGTTTGAAATTAAGGATTTTAAAGTTTTGAGTTTCTTTTTTAATTCTAAAGAAATTTGAGTTTCTTTCAAAAAAAAAAAGATAAAAAGTAAATTATAATTTTTTATTTTAAAATTAATTTTTTAATTTTTTATATGTTTGACACGTGTCAAATAACTCTATTTTTTAACAACGGTTACATTCCAAACACTTAAAGTTATAATGTCGAAAATATTAGACATTTAAAAGAGTAACAGAGAAAACGTTAGTTTAACGAAAAAAAAAATTAAACACCAAAAGCTAATTTTAAATATAATTTGAGCATTTATTTTTACATTAAGAATTTTCTAACATTTTGCAAAGAAAAATGCTAGATCTTTGAAAGATTCTACTAGTCTTTGTCACGATGATAAAAGAACTTGTATATTATGATTATCTTGTATCTGTCGTATTGCTATATTAGGCTTCCGTTAATGCTTCATTGTTGTATTTTGTCTATAATGTCTCAACTTGTTTTCGAACATTGTTCTTACTGACGCCATTTTCGACTAAGACAATATAAATTTTTTAATTTCAAAAAAGACGAAAAAGGTTGACAAATAATAACAAATTTAATCGTGTATGCCACTGCTCAACACTGCCAAGAAGAAGCAAAACAACAATCATTAGAACATGGGTTCACATTTTGATTGTTTGAAGCAAAACAATCAAAGGATTCAGAAAGAAGGCCTTCAAAATTTCTATTCTGAACAGCAGTAGAGTAGATACATCAGCAGACTGTTGTTTATATAAACCAGCATACCCCTTCAAGCCTGCATCAAATAATTGACATATTCTTCTACTTCGAATTTTTATTAAAATCACTTCCTATTATTTCAGATTGTAACATCATTCCAAATTGTATCTTTTGTACGCACAACTGATGGCTGATAAAAAGGGCACAGGCTTGATCTTTCTTCACAAATTTTAATTCAATAATCAATAATGCTTTACGCCAATGACTCTTGCTTGAAGTTGTTGGAAAATCTGGACAAATTAATGTCACGAGGCAATAGTGATCCCGTTGAGTGACAAACTCTAATGGAAAAATTAGAGTTAAAAAGAGCTTCAATTTTGATTGCATTGCCTATGAACAATAAGGTAGCATAGATGCTGCAGCTTGGACAAAGTTTCAACCAATCTTTTTGATGTTGAAATTGTTACCAATTGGAAATTCTTCTCTGCCAAAAGCATTGTTGAACGTGGCCTAAGAAAGTTGATAATCATTACTTTTCTCAATGAATCAAGGCCGAAGTTCACTCTATAGATATCGATCCTAGGAATATGGATAGTGCATACAATGTTAACAACATATAAACTAGTCATTGCATTTGAAACCATGACGCTTCTGCCAAATCTACACATTCTGATGTGCTTTAACAATATTCTTTCCATATCTCATTACTAGTATGTGCTTATGGTTGTGCCTTTGAGCCCACGCTATTGGTTGAATCTTCGTCATTACTAATTTCATGTAGAAATCGTGGAATTGGGGGCAGGCTTACATCTAAAGCCCCTTCTAGGATCTGAACTACTTGTCCCATTGATGGCCTTTGGATTACATGATCTTGGATACACCAACAAGCTACTTTACAAGTTCTGGACAACTCTTCTAAATCAGCATTTCCGTTCAGCCTGCTGTCTAAGAGTTTGAGGAGATCATTGCTTTCACTCACTTGCCGAGCAGCCCAAACCGGAAAGAATGTACCTTCTTCGTCAGTTGTGTGTTCAAAGTTTCTCCTTCCCGATACAAGTTCCAAAAGCATCATTCCAAAGCTGTAAACATCAGCTCTGGGTGTTATAGCCACTCCCGAAATCCACTCTGGTGCAAGATAACCCACTGTCCCTCTCATGGCGGTCAGGACCCGGCTAATCTCTCGTCCTAGAAGCTTTGCTAGGCCAAAATCTGCCAATTTCGGACGATTGCCAACATCTAAAAGAATGTTTTCAGAGATTTTCAAAACCGAAGAATATATATATCACGGACTGGTTTATCTCTGTTTGCAACCCAAACGGTATCAACTGCAAAGCAGACATGGGATTCATGTGACAAACACATGAACAAGAGCAACACTGAAAACAAGAACCACCTGGGATTAATGTTCTTGGTCTTCAAGGCTACAACTGCAAGATAACTCAGGGTTCTTGGTTCCTGCAGTACCAACAATATTTATTGAAGAAAACGTGATACGTGTAAAAAAAAAAACTAAAGATGGTGTGAATTAAAAAAAAGTCCTCCAACTGGTTGCATTACTCTATTCTTTCAGTATTACGTACATATAAATATAAAAAATAGAGTTGACTTTGATTTAGTTTAATTTTAAAAAGCCTTTGTATTACTTTGAGATAGGGGGTGTGTTGGTATATAGATACGTATAATACAAATCATTGAATAATCGTATATTCTACGTAATTGCTAGAAAGAAAGTTCAACTGAAACTTATTCACAAGGCAAGAAAACAAACAAGATACCATAATAACAAGAAAAAACATAAAAAGAAAAAAATCGGTGAATACGATTAGTTGTTGCCAAGAAAAACAACGCAGCCGTGACAACAAAGCTCCTTTTCTCCTTCCTCTTCTATGGGCTCCAAGCTCCTCCATGCGTCGTTTTTTGTCGATGTGTCGAACACATGGACTATCGACGTCAACCTCGACGTCTTCCCTACCTGCCTGTATCCAGCCATGAAAAACAAGTGACTCCCAATTGCTGCCATTGTTATGTAAGCTCGTTTAATCGGAGGCAACATTGCATCCGATGTGGAAATAGGCGATGCTAATGTTTCCAGGTGTGATCCGTCGACTTCATCCCATATATGCCCATCGTACACCTCTATGTGACCTTTCCATGTATTTAGACAATCCCCTGAGCTATAAAGCTTTTCATCAACGGCCACGATTTGATTAGGTGGCACGTCCAATTGCCACATTCCCCTCACTAGATCCCACTTGGCGTTCTCTGAGTCGTACACCTCAGCCGAACATCTCCCAATCGTGTTCCATGGCAACTTGTCCATATCCGCCTTCTCAGCAAATCCGCCTATCACATGGATTTTCCCTTGCCATGTCACACCCACACATTTGTACCTCATCACGCTCATATCAGGCAACGGTTTCCACTCGTCGAGAATTGGATCGTACATCTCAGCCGATGAGGTGCCGCGTGCAACGCCTAACGTGCACTGTCCACCCGCCACATGTATTCTGCCGTCGTACACAGTGCACACAAAATCGAACCGTGGGATACCAAGTGGTGCACACTTGGACCAAATGCCATTGCGAACATCGTAGCGTATGACAGACGAGAGGATCTCAAGCCCAACCTCGACAATTTCGTATGGGCCATCACCTACAACCTTGTGACAAAGCCTTCCGCCAATAATGTAGATGAAGTCACCAATGGAGACCATGGAAAAATCCTTCCGCACATGGTTTTCGAGAAGCTCGGGAATTCTGTCCACGCAATGCCAAGAGTTGGTCGTAGGGTCGTAACATTCAATCCAGTTGGACATGTTCGAGGTGGCCAATAGATCATTGGAACAAAAAGAAGTGTAGATGCGATAATTGGCAAAAGGGTTTTTGGCTGCGTCCGAAGGCGATAATAGAGGGGAAATAGAACCCATGAAGTAACTATGGGTGGCATAGAAGGTTTTCGATTTGAAGTGAAACGGGGAGTTTGAATTTGTGGCATGAAGGGGAAGATATAGGCAACCAGGCGGAGGAAACCAAGACAAGGATAGGGTTCGATGTTATCCAGAATGAGGTTGGTAAAGAGGATTGGATCGTGTTTTTGGATCCCATTGGGGGAAAATATCCAAGTTTTTCTTGTTTTGTCTCCTTAGTGTGTGGGTGTATATGATCCTAGGCCTAACTTTAATGAAAAAGAGGGAACCCAAAAGAATCATGCCTCTTACCTGTCCTTGATACATGAGATATTTTTGTTTCTTTTGTTTATATAATCCACGGAAAGAGACGGAATTACTATTCATCTTCTTGTTCTCGTTATGGGATAATTATTATGTAATTCAAACACCTCCATCAGAAAATGGTCATACAGGACGTTCAACTTCTTCGAATGTCATTATTCTTGTTATTTTCTCCGTCTATTGGTGACAATTGCATAGGAAAAGGTAACAAACTGAACTGCACATTCATGAAATAATGAACTTTTAAGAGTTAATGTACTATTGAAATAGTCCTAATGGATCTCAATAAGAGAATTTAGGAATCCATTCATTAATTTCGATACAATCATGAAGATTCTAAAAGGAAGACGAGGGTAATTTGACTAATCTGAATATTGTTTGTGTAGGGATTTTCAGCTTCCTCTTTTGACACCAAGAGAACCAACTAAAATTGAATATGTTGATTCGCTCATTTGAGTTATTGAAACAGAGACCCGTCATATATAAATCTCCTCTCTTTAGATATAGAGCCACAACTCGATGAGAATATCATCTTTAAGGCCTGGTCAAAAGTGCAGCAACTTAGAATACATTTGAGAAAGATACTGCCGTAGTTATGGGCAAATTTCTACAGATATTTTATTTACTTGTTCTACGGGAGTGACCAAGTACATACCTTTTCCTGCATGCCCAACGATTACACGATGGGTGTCCCTAGTAGCTGATTGGAATATGTTACTTGTCTGCTCTCAGAATGAGTGTGGATGAGCAAGCGGGCAACTAATAGTTCTTAGATAAGTTGCAGGTGGTTATTGTGAAGCTTTTATTTAATTTGAGTTACAATAAGAAACTTGAGAAGCTTTTCTATAATTCAAGGTGAAACTTCATCCACTATATAATTTGAGAAACAAAGATCCACGCCTGCGAGTTAAGATGGTATTATACGGTAAGGAACAGAAGCATAGAGCTTTCAACTTTCAAGAAGACTTCGGAATTTCACTCTCCTTTTAATGCTACCCATTCGATCATAACCTATACCAATCTTACTATGCATCAACTTCATGGCCAAATCTGCATTGCCTGCTTTCCTCAAGGCATTGATTAGAACAGTTCGGATTCTTCCAGGTATTTCTCTACCCCTATCAACAATACCATCAGCCAACTTGCAGGCCTCCCTGACACGGCCAGCTTTACACAACACAGTGATCATATCTTCAAAAGCTGTCTCAGGAATAATACCCATAGGTGCTAGATCATCCAAAATCTTGCAGGCCCTGGTTACCTTGCCTGATAGACAAAGCCCAATTGAGAGAGCCCTAAAAGAAGCTGCAGTTGGCGTGATACCTTTATCGATCATCATATCCCACAGCTTCATTGCTTCTTCATTCTCACGCTCCCTGAACAGTCCACTTATGAGTATTGTGTATGTATATACCGTCTGATCACATCCTTCATCCTCCATCCTTTTAAACAGAGATAATGCTTCATCGATTCTCCCACACTTTGCAAGGGCATCAATAAGGGCATTGTAACAATATGAATCCCGTGGGCAGTCTTTTTCAACCATCTCTTCAAAAAGTTTCCGAGCTTCATCGACTCTACCAGCCTTGCCCAACCCATCAATGAGACTAGAATAAAACATGGCATTAACTGCCACTTCATTAGCACTACAAAACTTGAGATACTCCATGGCCTCGTCTAATCTTCCACTCTTACACAAACCATTAACAATGACCCCGTAAGACACCTCATCTGGTTCAAGCCCATCCGTTTTCATCCTCTCAAATAGCTCTAATGCTTCTTCCATCTTTCCACATTTTGCAAATGCATCTATCAAAGTTGTATAAATTGCCACATTTGCTTTAACCCCATTCTGAATCATATTCTCGAAAACAACATATCCTTCAAGACATTTCCCTTCTTTACAAAGTCCTCCAACGACTAAACTATATGCATGAGGTGGAACTTCACATCCTTTCTCCCCAATTTCATGATACAAGGCCAAACAAGAATCAAAGTTCCCCTCTGAATAACATGCCTGCATCAATGTCAAATAAGTAATCTTATCTGGCGCCAAATTTACTATCTCCATGGCTCGTAATAATTTCATCGCTTTCAGAGTTTGTCCCGCCTTACAATATCCTTTAATCATGGTATTGTAGCTCACAACATCAGGTCTAATTTTACCATTCTCCATTACCTCAAAAACCCGCTCCGCAGATTCAATAAACATAGAACTCACCAATCCATTAAGCAAAAAATTAAATGTATATAAACTAGGTTCAACCCCATTATCTTTCATTCTTCGCCACACCCACAATAACTCCTCAACCATCCCAAGTTCCCCAAAGATCTTAATCAAAGAATTTGCCGATGACATTGTCATTACAAACTCCATTTCCTTAAGCTGACCAAATAAAAATCTCATCTTTACCAAATCATTTGACAAAGCTAAAACATTTATCAAAGAGACATAACATTCCAGCTTATGGGTATATTTCTTTTGTTTAGCAGCCAACGTAAAGAACCTCAAAGCAACATCGGGTTTGTTTTGAATCTCAGCAGATGCTAAGACAAAAGCTACAAAATTTGGTGACAGCCTGATCAAATACATGTGGCAGAAAGAGTCTAAATTTGATTCCATGTTAGCAGAACCGTCTAAAAGATTGATAATTCGGCTTACCCAAGGAGATGGCGTCAGGTCTTCAGGGTTCGTTAAGGACAAACCAGAGAGATTAATGAAGGGTTCTATCCACTCGGGAGGAGGAAGATCACTTGAAGTAAAAGCGAACCTAGAGAAAAAAATCGAGATCGAGTTGGATAACAGTTTGCGAGAAACCGGCTGCGACTCAACATTTCTAAAGGGAGTAGAGAGAGGTGGATATAGGAGACGGGATAGAAAGAAAGGAACCAGAGGTTTCACTAGGGTTCTTCTCATCAGGGTTTTGGGGTGCTAATTTGATTTGCAAGGGAAGGAAGATCGATTTTATGAAAGCGAAAATCAAAGGGTTAATTGCACAAAAAGTACTCTAACTATGACCCGGACTCTAAATTCATCTTCAATTCGAAAACTTCTAAATTAATTTATCAAAATAAAAGTATACTGACAGGAATAGCTTAGCTCGTTAGTCGTATGTGGTATCAAACTTTTAGTTTGGGGTCACATTTAATATGAGCAGAGAGTTGAAGTAGGGGAGAAAACTATTGTTGGTCAATGTGGATATGAAGGAAAAAATGAATTATTATGAAGAATAAGAATGAGGGTTGATCGATTTCGGGGAGAAGAGAGTGTGTTTCATTTTAGTCTTAATTAAAGTATTTATAGTAATCTTTAATGTATGTCAATCGTAAGATTATGATGAATATTTATAGGTTGATCAAGCTAAAAAGATCTTTTGATCAGATTTTAAATTTTAAATTTTGTTCTGGTAAGTCTTGTGGACCTGTTTAAGGTCTTGTGGAACTGTGGGGTATCCATAAGGGTTTAAACATGGCTTGGATTAGGGGAGAAAGTAAAGTGAGATAAAAAAATAAATCGATTGAACATAAAAAATTTACCATTCTGCAACACAGAGAAACTCTTAAAGAAAAATTGGGAGATAGACTTGAAGCATATACCTAGAGAGGCAAACCGCGTCGCAGATTTCATCACCAAGCATACATGAAAGTATCAGGAAGACATTATTTTTCTGGAAACTCTCCCAAAGAAGTTGAGGAGTTGTTAAATTCTGATAGAACGGGCAGCTAGACGGCCCTTGTACCCTATTAAACCCAAAAAAAAAAAGTCTTGTGTAGATCTCGTCTATACATTGTAATCGACTTGAGGGCTTGTATTTAGAGGACGCAAACTTTTGATGACTTCGGAAAATTTCATGTGACGAAGATTGAGAGATTTTTAGAGGGTGTCTTCGGAGATATACCAAAGTATTTTTGAGTTGTGGTCTAATGTGCATTTTTACTCCTTTACTTTACCAAATCTTTTAATGTGTAGCTCTACTCTATCAGAGATTAAAAATAAATCCCAAAAGTTATTCAAGAAAAATAAAGAACGGTGACAAGTAGGCGGAGTAATAGGCAAAGACCATGATTAGTTTCGAACTGAAATACATGATTACTTGGTAACAAGTAGTTTTCCAAGTGGAAAATGGAAAGAAGACATTGGACTCCATGGAAAGTAACAAAACTAAAACACATGCATCTAGATATTTGCTTCCCTTTATTCTCTAATTGATCAGAAGCTTCATATATAGCAAGATCATGTTCAAGGATGTGGGCGTGTTGCTGCAGCTGCGATGCTAGCACCGTTGCCGGGAATTGGCACCTCAAAACCAGGGTTCGGAACAAACGTGTCATCTCCACCTGGAATATAGCCGGATCCACCGCTTGAGTCACCAATGCTTCCGCAAAACGGATTTTGGGGTTCAAGAACTGGTGGCACCATCACTCGTCCAATGTCACGTGTTGCAACTGCTTGCAATATGGCAATGGCAAGCACAAGGCCGAGGAGGAAAATTGGAGCAAGAAGCAAGGAAGTAGGTTTTGAAGCCATAATGGAAGAAGTATGAGAGATGGGATTGAACGTTCTTGGATGGTGGAAAGGTGGAAGAGAATGAGGCTTCTTATAGGTGAGGTTTAAGCGAGTCGGTCGATGGTTTGGCGGTGGGTTTCCATTGTGGAAAAAGAAGCCATTGAAAGATGTCTCAAAAAGCAGAAGCAATAGCTGATAATAAGAATGTTTAGGTGGCCTAGGGTTGCCGGCTCGGCTGAGATTTTGCGGTGAGTTATGAATTAAACGAAAATCTGATACTTTAGCAAATTATACATACCTACCAACGCTTTTTCTCCACGAGCATGCACGACAACTTCAAACTGGAGTGGTTGTGGTGCGTATGGTGATTTACAAATTTTAGTCGACTAATTATGATTACTAGCTACATTATAGTGATACATAAAGATTAAAGTTGCCGGCGACTTGTTAAACTGCACCAACTATAAAACAAGGCAATAAAAGGGGAGAGTTTAATCCATTGTGCTCTTATGCATGAGTGTTAAAACTTGATTCCATTTTTTTTAAAATTATAAGTTATTCAATTTGTTTAACTTATTTAAATTAATTATTTGTTGAGATTTAAGTGTGAGTCGAGTTTGAATTTACAAAGTTTAAATAATTTAAAAATCGATAATTAAAACGACATTGTTTTGATAGTTAACTAAATAATTTGATTTTTTGACGATTTGGTTCGTAATTTCTTTGTTTCTTCAATTTCTCTCTCGTTTTAAGTTCATTTTTAGATTAAGTTTAAATCATATGTCCCTCAACTGTAGGAAAATATTTATGTTGCTTCAATTCTCCTTTTTTGACAATAAATTTCCTTTTATTTGACTTTTTTTGTTACCCTTCCGGTTCCAAGGCTTCGACTTAACTAATCTGGACCGACTCGCGTCGCACACCTGATTTTGGTGGGTAAGTCTCCCAGCATATATTGTTTGCTTACACAATGATTCAAACTCGAGATCTTATTTAAGCGATATCAAGTTGCTTACCATTTGAACCAACCCCTATTGGTTCCTTTTATTTCACTTTAGTTCATCAATTTTGTATGGTTTAAATATATAAAAGATGTCCAATATATGTCTTTTTTTCAGTTTAGTGTCTAACATTTATTATATTCTAATTTGGTGCCTAACATTTCATTCCATTACTTAAAATGGGTTAAGTCATGACGAACTGTTAGTTTTCTCCGTTAAGTGACACGTGTCACAATCTCATAATTTTGAAATTTATTTTTTAAAAAATATTATTATATTTATAAAAAAAAACCTTATTTCTTTTAAATTAAAAAATTCTCAAAATCCCTAAAATACCCAAATCCTAACACTAACCCGTTGTCGCCGCCCTTTTCGGCCACGACCACCGCCGCCGATATAGTCCTTGTCATCATCCTAATTATAAGTCATCGTAATTGTCGCCAATTGGCCGTCGAAATCGTTTGGGATTGTGATTATCATCCTAGGGTTCGAGGGGTATAAAAAGTTGATTCGTCGTCGATCGACCGTTGATCAGTCACGATTTCATAAGGGTTTTGGTCGTCGGGGGGACTGAGGTCGGGTGGAGCTTCGTCGACGGCAAAGGGCGATGGTCGGATTGGGGGGTTGAAATGAAGGTTTTCAAATTTTTAGGGTTATTTCAAAATTTATGTTTTCTTTTTAAAAAATATATATAATTTTCTTTTTTAAATTTTATATAAAAAATTTAAAAATATCAAATTGTGACATGTGTCCTTTAAAGGAAAAAACTAATGGCCCGTCACGGCTTGATTCATTTTGAATAACGGAATGAAACGTTAGGCAACAAACTAGAACGAAATGAACGTTAAGCACTAAACTAAAATAAAAGCATATGTTGTGCACCTTTTGTATATTCAAGTCATTATCTATTATTTCGTTATTTTTTCATTTCCTACTTCACCTCAAGTTTATTTTTGATAAAATTTGAAACACATGATCATGTAACACTTTAAAATATCTACATAAGTTAAATTTCCAATTTGACAACAAATTTATTTTTAAATTTAACCCCTTAACTTTTCATGTTATTCAATTTGGTCCTACAATTGAAACCCTTTTGTAGGTTCTTTCTTCCCATCAATTCCTCAACTCATTTATACTCCCATCAATACTTTTTTCTCAAAATATATTTTTAACAAAATAATATTGTAAATATATTATTTATATAATTTTAGTTGTTATTTGATTTGTTATATCATTATAAATCTTTTGTTATGTTTTTTTAAAACTCGATAAGAAAAATTGGTAATATAGGATCTGAAGCTGCTTTTCTCTCACACACCACCAAAAGTACTCGGATTTTGAGAAGTTTGATTAATTTACCAGAAAGGTACAGCACAACATGAACATATTGGCCACCAATTCACAAGGATATTCTTTTCCTTGGATAATACAGCAAAATCAGCCCAGTTTCGTTGATGCGAAATTCAAAGGTTTGATCTTTCCTCGGAGAATCTGGGAAGCTGGACAAGTGAGTTCACTCGGGTCACGCCTTCCAAACCTGACCACTTTTGATCTTCTGTCGAAACCGCACCTACATTTCCTTCAAACTCTGCTGGCACCAGTTTCCCATAACCATCATCGGATTCAAATGCATTACCGGAATGATTACTTTGAAGAGTTGCAGAAGAAAACCCTTGTTCCTTGTTATCAGATTCCGAATCCATTTTCCCATCCAAAAATAAGCAAACAGCAGTACAATCATCCATTTTTGAAGTAGGATACTTTAGTGTCCATTGGCGTGCAGCTGAGTCGACCAAAGCCCTGGCTGCTGACGACCGGGTTGGAGCCGAGGATACAATCTCGACCACCTCTTCGTTGCTCAATACATCCCAAACCTATAATAAATTGCAATGTAAATATTAAAGAGAAGCATGCAGCATGCATGCAGCTCCATAAAAAAGGATGAATGGAAAATCAATCAGTTGTGAGAAAGATTACCCCATCTGAAGCAAGAACGATGAATTGATCGCTATCGGTGAGGAGCCGGTGAGAAAATTCAGGTATAGAGATAACGCCATATTCCTTCAAACAAAAATCCCCGAAAGCTCGAGCCATTGCTAGCCCTGGTGCATCATCAAATGGTAGCCACACTCTATGTACTTCAGGTTCATCTTGCATTGCAAAGACCCGACCTTTGCATTTTTTAATCCTTTCGGCTTCCCCTGGGGCATGTAAATTTGGTATTTAGTATATTTAGTCCCATAAGAGAAAAACAAAATGGTTTGAGATCATATGTACTTGGTAAATCAGGCTTCAGATCGACAGTCAATTGGATTGAGACCATCGAACCATTGTTGTTCTTCGATCCCATGATTGCTCGAGAATCTCCGATATATCCCATGAACAGGCTGGGGCCCTGAAATAGTAAAATCAATCCACATGATTCAGAGAAAGCCGGAAAATTTGAAGATGAAGAGCAACAACCAACAAGCGTTTCTTCTCTCATACCTGTTTGACTATAGTGACGGCAGTGCTACCACTACAGAAGCAGTCCAAATTAGGATGGGACCTCAACTCTTTATCCATGGCCTTGTATGACTTCATGAATGCTTCCCTCCACAAAAACTTTAATCTGTCCTCGGCAAAGATATCCTCGTCGGAATCTTTACCGTTCGAGTTCCCCTTGAAACATGATCCTCTGGATTCGTGTTGCCCCGACTGATATGAATGCATGGAGGACAGCAACTTAAGGGGCAGGGCATCCCGCACTTTGTGAGCAACGAGATGACCTTGTGGACCATGACCATCAAATACACCACAAAAGGTCACATCATCAGACATGAAATCCTACACATTTTGAGCAGTTCACCTCAAGATTTAAACAAGGCTCAGAGCCAAAGGAACTCAAATTCAAAGTAACATTTAAAACTTACTTCCCACACAATCATGGCATCCTGGTTTATTCCCTTTCGACCTTGCTGAGTGAATATGCAAGAAGTTCGGCTCTTTCCATTGGCGTAAATCCTGTTGGGAACTGACGGTAAATTCTGCAGTGTAATGACATTATCCGATATCGTTCTACTCGTCCTCTTCGTCCCAACAAATCCAATTTGTGCCTCTCCATGGCTTCCGGAACTGCAAGTACTCCGACTACTAGTGGAAACACAACACCCCATTTCACCAGCTACACAAAGAAAACATCCGGTCAAGTTAAAAAGCACGATGATCCTCCCTGATCCAGAAGTGATCTCACGTCAAACTATATGTAGTCGTCGGAACGGTCAACTAAGACAGAGACGATCACGCCAAAGATTCCCACCAATCACACCACAGGCCACTTTACACCTCAATGTATATCTTTAAAACTTGGTCAAACATATTGAGGATTCCACATAGAGAAAACAAAACCATCTGATCAAAACAAGAAGCCATTATTTAATTGATTTATTCACCCCATTGTTCCAAAATGGCTGCAAAAATAAAACCAAAGATTGAAGAAAATGCATATAATAATCTTCCATGTGCAACCACAATAGAGTATTAGAGTAGACTTAAAGTTTGTCGTTCATAAGAAATACATTGATTATAACTCAAATAGCGAGACCTTATTAAATAAATCCAAAGGGTAAAGGTGGTAAAGACAGAAGATTAGTAAAGCAAGGAACATTGGAAAAAGAAAACGATGTCTTGTCTTTGAAATAATTAAAGCAAACCATGGAATTTGAATTTTCAAAACAAAGGGTAAATCCAGCGAGAACTTAACAAGCAAACCTTTCACCCACAGAGGCCTATAAGAAACCAAGTCTACGTTTTCTTCCACCTCCACGGCATATGTCAAAAGCATTATTAAATTTGAAGAACATGGTTGATGCCTTCACCTTGTATTTTCATAAGGAGAACACAAAAGCTGAGAAAAAGTTTTGATCGTGCGAAAAACCGAAAAAGATAAAGTTGAAAACTTGAGCAAAAAGAAAGAGAAGAAGCTGAGTTTAGCTTTCTCGGGCCAGAATACAAAAATTTTAGATAAAGAAAAGAAAAGGGATGAAAATGATTCAAATTTGTCAAACAGAACTGATGGAGACAAAGCAAAACATGTAAAAGCAGAAAACGACGATACAGAAGAATGATTTTGTCAAGAGAACACAAAGAAGAGAATAGTGTAGATCAAAGTTAAACAAAAATAAGAAAATTAAAATTCACTGTTTTGATAAAAAAAAGTTCAAAGAAAAAAACTGAAAATGAAACATTAATGTATAAATAAAGGCAGAGTCGACTATAAATTATAATTTATACCTCAAGTATAGAAACAGAGTAAAGAACACTAATTGTTTTGTTCCGAAGCAAAGATATCCACGGGGCTAGAACCTAGAAAGAAAAGTTGGATGAAGTTTAGTGAATGGTCGAATGGTGCTCAAGGTTATGAATTAGCAGAGACAAGACGCTGGAAGAAAGTACCTTTGTTGTTTGAAAATTTTGACCTTCTTTGGAAGAAGCAGAGCAGCAGACTGGTGAGACTGAGAGAAGAGAGGTGATAATAATTACAAGTTGTAAGCGTGGACCGTGGTGCATTCATTAATTGCAAAAGCAGAGGCGAATAGGAGAAAGTCCTTATAGGCAGCAGTGGTCAGCAAAGTTGGGATCTTTATGAACTTCCATTTTCCGTTTCACCTTGTATTTTTGTCTTGGGCTTCGACTCGGTTAATGGTGAAATCTCAAAACAATTATGTGAAACAGGGCAGGGGAAATAATGATAAAAATGGGAAAGGGAAAGCACAATAAAATGGAGATTTGGTGTTGGCGGGCTGGCAGTTGCTACATGAGTACATGACTGACTACATGAGCTTCAGGAACTTTATTTGCTTTACAATGTGGGTTCGGGGATGGTAGACGGGCTTTCGATAGGTACGATAGACAAATATAATTTTGTGAATTTCATATTGTATCTATATTAATTAGGATGGATATTAATATAAATTCAATGGATAGTAGACGTGTGTAATGTCAAAGTCATACTCATAATAGGTAGTTGATAGGAGATGGATTTGAGATCTTACCGCCTCATATTCAGCCACCAAGCATCCGTTACCATTATGAATTCTGGACCATTATGAATTATGGACAATTATGAATTTATAATTAAATTTATGAGCTTTTCTATAAACCCTAAAACTGTGAGGGGTGTGATTTATAGTTTTCCTAAATTTAGTCGTTTTTATTTTCTATGTTCTTTATCGTTTCTCGAGTTCATTTGCACTCAAAGTCTCAATCTTTGTGAAATCTATTCTATCTTTATTCATTATATCACCGTAGAGTTACGAAAAGAGTAAAAAATTTGGATGTTAAGGGATTAGTTTGTTGATGAACATCAAAGGAAATCTTCGAACTCAATTTTTATTTGTTTAACCATAAGTATTAAGTTTATTGATTAACTATTACAGATTATATTTTATAGAAGTTTATTATGGGAGCAATTCTTTTAATTTAATTTGCTATATTCGTAAACATCAAGATTTAAACTCTCGTCTTTATTTAGGAGATAGAATACATCGTCATACTAATTCAATTGATTGTTAGTAAATCTTTGAACTAAATTAATTTAAGGGTAACAAAATATATGTTTTTACATCATAATGACGTTGAAATTCCTTATTTGAATAATAACAGTATGTGAAGCAACCATACTTCTAGGTAGCTTCTACTCAAAAATAACTTTCTCGCTTGCTCTCCGGTTGTCTTCCCATCGCTATGACTATCAGTGTGACAGTGTCCACTTCCGTGAACACTTTTTATATGTTTCTGAACATCAGATGTGAGAAGAGACTTGTTGGCCTGGGATTAAAGAAGGGTATGGTCTTTGACTTTGACTATCATAAAAAGGCACAAACAAAGCACTTTGGAATGAGAGAGTTAGGTGACGTTTGGTTGGCATGAATCTCTTTGAAATAGGGAGAATTGAAATCCAATTTCATCACTTTCTCATGTTTGGTTCAAGTTTTCAAAGGGAATTGAAATCTCTCATGGCTTCAATTTTTCATCAAATGAGGGAAAGTGAATTACATACATTCTATGATGAGTTTCAATTTCCTTGTTGGAGAGAATTGAAATTTGACCATACTACCCTCATAAATATTTTGGTAACTTATTCATATATTGAATAAAAATATATTTTTTTTATTTCGGGTCGGGTCGGGTTTCTAATTCATATATTCGGGTCGGGTCGGTTTTTTAAGTGTGATATTCGGGTCGAGTTCGGGTTTTGGGTGAAAAATATCTGACCCGAAAATATATATAATTTTATATTATATATTTAGGAATAATTACAATAATACCCCTTTATATATAATTTTTTTCAATTAAGTCACTGTTTTTATTGAATAAATTTTTTTTTAATTTCGGGTCGGGTTGGATTTCTAATTCATATATTCGGGTCGGGTCGGGTGAAACTTTATTTTGGTCGGGTCGGGTCGGTTTTTTTTTAAGTGTGATATTCAGGTCGGGTCGGGTTTTTTTAATTGTAATATTCGGGTCGGGTCGGGTTCGGGTTTAGGGTGAAAAATACCCGACCCAAAAAATATATAATTTTACCTTATATATTTAGGAATAATTACAATAATACCCCTATATATATATATTTCCAATTAAGTCACTGTTTTTATTGAATAAAAATAATATTTTTATTATTTCGGGTCAGGTCGGGTTTCTAATTCATATATTCAGGTCGGGTCGGGTGAAACTTTATTTTGGTCGAGTCGGGTCTCGGATGGAGGTTCCCTTGTTATCGAGTCGGGTCGGGTGGACCAAAAACCCGACCCATGGCCATCCCTAATTGGGATGATTTTAACTTATGATGTTTATTAGCATGATTTTTATAATTTATTGAAATGAATAATTAATCAATAAAATTAAAATTTAATTTTTTTAAAAAAATTTATAATATATTGCTACATGTAATTTATAAAACAAACTAAAATTAAGGAAAAAACAAGAAGGGCAATCCTGTCATTTTACATTACTGAAATCAAATTCATCTGACATGTTTGCGAACTAAACAGAATATGGAATTGGATTCCAATTCCTGACAGATTTCAATTCCTTCACAGATTTCAATTCCCTCAGAAACATTCTAGCGAACCAAACGCCACCTTAGACTTAACTTAACTATGGGTTAGGGCCCACTTCAAACAAGTTTAATCCCTGGAGGAAGAGGAGGATGAGCTAACGGGTGATAACGTTAGGGACTTTGTTGAAAACAAACTAAAAGCTTAATTAATGTAAGTTTGAAAAATTGAATAGTCAAAAGGCAAGCACTAAAAAGTTCGAACACTATTTATATAATTTACTCTGAATTTAATTCTAAATAATGATTTTGATTTCATTATGTTTGATATCTTGAATGACAAGGTTGATAGGTATGAGTTGGGTGGTTGGCACTCAATTGTTAGTAAATGTGGGGTGGATTTAAAAATTATACTCGCAATGGGTAGTGTAAAGGTGATAGATATAAATTTTTTTAGATAAGTACGAGGAAAATGTATTTGAACCTGCCTGTCATATTTATCTTCCCTAGTTTCACATTTTAATTTTAATTTGATGTTTTTAAGTTATACTATAGTACTTGTATGATATTATATTTTAATAATATATGTGAAAATAAAATAATTAAAATTTTAATTATTTAATAATGTTTGACGAACATAATACAATAATATCTTATTTTTTAAATTATATTTAATTATATAAACAAAAATTATATAGATATATAAATTATAATTTTAAATAATATTATTGATTAAATATGTGTTATATTTGAAAACAAATTAATCTTATAAAATATTAAATTTCGAGTTTAATTTCGGATTATCCATCACATTTTTTACAAACGTAAAAAAGAATGAACTCTTTAATATCAATTGATTTAGGGGATATATGTAATGTTACATTATCTTTCTAAGGATATATTTTATTAAATTATTAGTATGATAATTTTTTAAAATAAGATTAATATTTATATTTTTATGAAAAGATATTAGGATGAAATTTTATATAACTATTCTCATTAACATCTATCAAAAATTTATATTCACCATGTTATTAATATAATTATTTTATTAAATAAAATTTGAAAAATAAATACACATATTAATAATACAATTAATATATATATATATATATATATATTTTTTTTATCTCATATCTCATATTATCATGCATTCTTCTATATTTTTTTAGAAAATCACCTACACCAATCACTGATAAGGATATTCGATTTCCCAATTTTTTTTAAAGGTGAAAAGTAACATGTTTTTATAGGTGGAAAGCGTGGGGTCAAATGATGATAAAAGATGATGATTCACCCACGGATAATTTTGTTGTAAGATAATTTATGAGAAAATCGCCTCAGTGACCAAAAAAAAGTTATAATATACGATTTTAACCAACTTTTTTTGGATTTGCCAAAATGACCAACAAAATCGCAACGCGAAATAAAAATCGCAACGCGATCCCCAGAATCGCAAATCAGTGTCCAAAATCGCAACGTGATTCTTGAAAATCGCAATGCGATAGTCAAATTCGCATTGCGATTTTCCAAAATCGCAACGCGAATATGAAAATCGCAACGCGAACACATAAATCGCAATGCGTATCCGTAAATCGCAACGTGTATCCGTAAATCGCAACGCGTTTCCGTATATCGCAACGCGTATCCGTAAATCGCAACGATAATCCGTAAATCGCAACGAGAATCTGTAAATCGCAACGATAATCCGTAAATCGCAACGAGAATCTGTAAATCACAACACTGAAATTTTGGGTATATAACACTGAAATCATAAACTAAATCCCTAAATCGCAACTCATTCCATCTCCATCTATCACTCTCTCCGGCGACATCCGTTCCTATATCCAACGACATCCTTCCCAATCCGGCAACAGGTTTTAGTTTCGCAGCTCGTCTGTTTAGTAAATTAATTTACAACCATGAAATCATCTAATGTTGATCATGTTTGGATAGATTTGTGTTTTGGAGGGTCATGGGATAATGTTCATGGTGTTTTACAATATATGCCTTTACCCATGAATCTTCAACTAAAATTGTCTTTACAAAAGTTAACTTATGAAACTCTAATGCTACGTGTTTCAAATAAATTGAATTTAGAGCCCCTAAGTGGATTTAGGCTATCTTATCAGAGAAATGGTAAAGTTTATTTGTTAACCGACAATGAAGATGTTGAACGATTCATTGCTTACATTAGGGTTTCACAAGATGATGTTACATTGTATGTTGTTGAACCTAGAAGTAGTATTGTTGGGTCAGTAGCGGGTAGTAATCAACTAAGTTTTCTCAAAACCCACAACCTTTCTCTAATCCAAATCCCAATCAACTTTCAGCACCAAATTCCGGTTTTCGTATTGACCAGTTAGACGATGATGAGCCAACAGAAAAAATTGTGAGTACTAGTCAGTATTCGAAATTTGGTCTTGGTCAATATCCGGACTTTGATATTGGTCAATACACGGATTTTGATGATGTTTCAGAAGAAGAAACAGACCATGCGTGTAATGATATTGATATTGGTCAA